TCTCCCGAATATAAAATCGCAAGTGGAGTTATGTATTACATGCCGGACGCGAGCAGCGGAGAGCAGAACGCGCAGCGCGCGTTTGCATGCGACTCTGCAAAGTTTCTTCGTCATCGGCGTAATAACGCTGATAAATAGCTAATTAATTAAGACAGCCTCATGTTTTCGCGGAATGGAGCAGATTTTATGCAAATACCGCGCGCGACGCCGCGCCGCCGCGACGCGGCGCGCGCGGGAGGTATAATTGCAACGAGATGTAAATTCCGTTAATAATAACGAGATTATCGCGGCGGTTCCGTATAACGCGAAATCGCCCCGACACGAGGTGTAATTATTATAATTTGGCAATGGAATTTGCGTGTGCGCCGTTGAATAGCGGGCATTGACAGCCGGCAGCTGCGCGTTCATCGATTATTCAACGGCACCGGGCGCCGAAATATAATCATATTTCGCGGCACAAAACTGCACGCGCAAACGTCTCGCGAAAATGACGATTCGCACACACGTCGGCGTCGGGCTCGCAATTTCGTTACGTCGCGCGGCGCGGCACGGCAACGAATTGTCGTGTTGAGTTGTGTGCGGATAAACGCATTCCCATGTGTCGTGTATATTTGTCGATTCCCCGGAGAATATTATACTTCGAATGACGATATCTGCCGTATCGGTTGTTTCATGCGCGCAACGCGACGCGCCGGATTAAACATTAAAAATGCGCTCATCCTGATTAAGGACAATAAATTGAATAAGCAAGCTCCGTGTTGGCTCGAGTCTTCCTCGTCTCTCGTCGTTACCGATGCGATATCGTCTTGGTGCGACGTGAGAAACAGAGAAAGAGAGAGAGAGCGGGGGGGAGGAGGAGGAGAGCGAGAGAAAGACAGAGAGAGAGAGAGAGAGAGAGAGAGAGAGAGAGAGAGAGAGAGAGAGAGAGAGAGAGAGAGAGAGAGAGAGAGAGAGTGAGAGAGGGAGTGAGGGTGAAGGAGGGAACGATCCTCGCGAGAGCGCGCGTGACGCGTTACCGCAGAGGGTTTGTCCCGGAAGGGAACCGGTGGCACATCGTTACCGGGGCAAACTACTACGTCGTCGACAAGCGCCGGTCGGTAAGTGCAGGAGGTCCGGTACGTCGTCTGTGCCCGCGCACTCCCGGTCGGTCTGCTGCCCGGCGACTTGTCCGATCGCAAGCACCCCCGCCGTCGCCACCACCATCCCCGGAAGTCTGGCCGGCGGCGGCGGGGTACCGCAGCGGCTACCGCCGCCGTCGCCTCCGCTCCCGCCATACAGCCGCGGACATACGCAGGCGCGCTTCCGCCCTTTCGTTCGCGGGGGTGTCGATCTACCCTCGGCAAGCCCGGCCCTCGAGCTTCGACACGGAGCCAACCCCCGCGACCGACCTCTGCGCCCTTCGTGGGCGGGAACCTCGTCCGCCACCCTCTGGCGTGCGCGTCTGTCCGTCTACCCCCGCTGGTGGACGTCGCCGCGACGTCCGTCTCTCGTCGTGGCGCGCGCGAGGAGCCGGCAGTGTCGCTCGGAGCGGATCGGCAAGATGATCGGCGCCCTTATCGGCGCGCAGTCTACGTACAATACGCTTGTGCAGACAGCAAGAACGACGACGACGACGGCGACGGTGACGACGACGGCGACGAGGACGACGACGACGACGGCGACGACGACGGCGACGGCGACGACGACGAGGACGACGACGACGACGACGACGACGACGGCGACGACGACGACGACGACGGCAACGACGATTGTTACCATCATCATCATCAACTGCATCAGCATCGTCATCAGCGAGACGGTGGTGTCACGCGCCGTTCTCCACTTGTTTCTACTCCTCCCCCTCCCCCTCGCAGCCGTCTGCCGAGGCTGAGGCGTTGCTCGCCACGTTGTTTGCTGATATGACCACGTCTCTCAGCACGTCGTTGTCGCGCCTCGTGCCGTCGCAGCAGCTGATTCGAAAGCCGTCGACGGTGCCGCGATAAGAAGGGGCCGCTGGCTGCCTGGCCGCGAAAGACCACGCGCGTAGGTGAAGCCAGAAGCAGCGAGAATCGGCCGTCGCGGCGCGGTGCTGGTGGACCGCACCGCGCGATGCTGGACCTCAAGAGCAGCGGTACCACCGCGGCGGAGCTACCACGCACCACGGCGTTCACCAATCTATCGATGCTGTTCGCCGGTACGTTCCACGCCGGACGTCGTACGGACGAGTGTCTGTGCCCGCTGTGCTTCGTCGATCTTCCTCTTACCCGGATCTGTGCCGCGCGGCAAGGGCTCTCGGCTGCCGTATGGCTGCCTGCGTATATCGCAGTGTCCGCCGATGATGACGCGCGCTCTTCGCCGATCGTCAATCGCGCTTTCGCCTGTCCGCGAGCTCGCGGACAAGTGAACGCGCGACGAGGAACGCGCGAGCTGTGTGCTCGCTGAGACCATCCTCCGAGTCTCCGAGTCAGACTCGCGTTTGTCCCTCGCGTTGGTCTCTCGATTGTCTCGTCGGAGGCTCCGAAGAAATTACGCTGCTCAGAGAGAAGCGCTGTTAATTGCACTGATTATTTCTGACGGAGGCAGACGAGGCGAGTCTGATGGATCGGCCCTCGAATGCGGGAGGTCTTCGAGTCTCGGTGAGCGCTCGCGCGTCTCGCGATGATCGATGGCACACGCGTGTTCATTCGCGGTAAACCCGGCTGTTGAGACTCCACACGCAGGATGTACGCGAGAAGCGGCGTAAATGTCGGTAGCGACGCGCCGAGTCGGCGGAAGTGATCGTCAGTGACCACGTGGATCTCGTGGATGTGGTAGGGAAAGGCAAACGTCGAGACTGTTTGTCTCGAGACAGCCATCAACGGAAGTGTGTTTGCGCGTTAGGAACCCCGTAAGGGTGGCTCTCCGACCCGCGCGCACGACGTTACGAGCTTCCGTATCGAGCCCATCTTGCCGAAAATCTCGGAGTTCAGTTTCTTCCCTTCGCCCGTTCCTCTCGTATTCGCTTCGACCTCGCACTGCGACTCGTGCTTCTCATGAAAGTGTCAAGCAAGAGCCACGGCTTACGAGTGGCTGAAAAATATGCATTTTCACTCGCACCGTCACGCCATCAACATGCTGTCACACTTGTAAATAATCACCTTGACCATTCAGATGTGACGTCGATATGACAGGAATCGAAGCGATTGAAAACTGCCGGACACTCACTCCACTATTTGTTAACATTGCTGTACAATGTATCGCTGCGCACGCTAAGTATTTCAGTTCACTTGAAGTGACGTCACAATTGTACAGCCAAGGCGTTTGCGTACAGCCGCGCGTCGCGTCTGAGCGGTCCGTCGGAACTCTCGCACCCTTCGAAGCTCCTCCAGCTCGCCGAGGGCGGTAATGTCTCCCGGGGAACTTCTCGCGAGGATTTTCCGCGCGTAGTAGAGTTCGGGGGTCTCGAGGCGTTTCACGAAAAAGTCGCGAAAAATCCGGCGCGCATTAGCACGAGCGAGCGAGCGAGCGAGCGATCGGCGGCGCGCCCACCCTTCGGCACTTGAGCAACGTGAAATCCGAGGCTCCATTAATGGACTCCGGTCTCCAGATCAAATGAAGGGGGCAGTAAAGACGAAAGATCGTGAGGCACGGAACGAGTCGTGCGCTCGCCGTCGTGCGAGGCCGTTGTTTGCCCGGAAAGTCGGAGTTTCTGTCGCGCGACGCGACGCGACGCGACACGACGCGACGCGACGCGACGCGACGTGCGTATGTACACACGAGGGTCGACCCTCGTGCCAATAACTGCCAAATGAAAATATATCTGTTCGCAAACACACCACCGCCACCGACGGACGCTCGTCCGACGACTCGTCGCGGCTCTCTCCGCGAGCGGGAGACGCTCGCATTCTTCGCCCACGGCGAATAATAACATCGCGAAATCTTCGCGCACGTGTTGCGAATCGTCCGCATAACTTCGTTCGCCAACGCTCCGTCTCGCGCGATCAGCGACCGAACACACTTGTCTGTGAGAAGAAAAGAACCGGCTGGAGCACAGTTTGGCCAGTCCAAGGCCCGCCGCATTATTTTTCGCGAGCCCTCGGTTTCGGCTGATTTTCGCGCCGACCACATCGGTGAAAACTATTGAATTGCTGCGTGTAGTCAGTAGAATCAAAATTATCTGGCGAATCGCAAGTAATATGCCGGGCCGGGGGTTGGTCTGAAAAAAAGAGGAGCCAGAATCGAAATGGCGTCAGAATCGGCGCGTCTCTTCCCACTCTTTTACCGAACACACACACATACACACACACACATACACACGCAGCATTTTATGCCACACGAAAAAATCGGGGAGTTACGATCAGAGTTACGGCGCGGCGAGCGAAACGTTTGCGATTTTGATAAGGGCGTAAGGGAGCGAAGTCGGAACGGCCACGAATATGCCAGCCGGCGAATACAGATATCTTACGGGGACATATTTCAAGGACGATAAATGCACTTCGCGACGAGCGAGCGCAGCGCGGTTCACCGTCGCGCGCGCGACGCGTTTTTCGCGTCTCCCGCGCGAGTCACTCTCGTGCGGGAACAGCGAGCGTCGTTAAAGTGAACCGTAAAGATCTCGCGGAGCGGAGGAACCGCGTTTTTCCAGCGTCATTCGGCCGCCGTGACTTACGCGAGCGGCCAGCACGGAGGCACTTTCGTCCCGCGCGATCAGATATACTTTATGGCTGCTCGCGATTCCTCGAACCGATTAACCGGTAATTGCGGACAATATACGCCCCGCTCCGCCGACGTGACCTCAAAATGTGTAATCGCAATTGGTATACGCCGCCGCAGTTGGATCACGAAGTACCGGTTCGCGAGTGCGGATCGATAAACCGTAGATTTATAACGCGCGTCACGGCTTCGCGTTTGTTTTTCTTCTCTCTTTTTCTGCGCTGCCTTTCCCCACCTGCCCTGCCGTCCTTTTTTTTAAGAAAACACCCCCGTCACTGCGGGATGAAGGAAGGACGGACGGCCGAATAACGGCTCTTTCTCTTTTTTAGATGCCGGCAGCTCGTACAAGGGAGGCTGGAGCCACGCCACGTCGCCGGCACCTGGTCAGGGTGAGTCTCCTGCGAAATTCATGGTCTAATCATACGAGGATGTTAGCACTTTAGCGCTACAACGGTAGGAGTAATAGTGGGTGAAGAGTAAAGGTCATTTTACAATACGTGTCGTAAGTTGTAAGCCGTAAGAACTGACCAGTTATAGCCGATTATTTTTGTAATAATCGACTTTTGTAATAATCGCCAATTCTTACGGCTTACAACTTACGACACATATTATAGAATGACCTTTAAGGGCGAGGGTTCACGCAGGAAGAAGGCGAAAACCTCGTGCGTTACTTACTTTCCGACCACGTTTCGACTGACGAAAGCTCGCACGGCAAGAGCCGGCGTCGAGCAGCCGCGTTTTACGCGCGGTGGGGAGATCACTTCCAAAAATTCCGCGACCCGCTTCCCCGGGTTACTTACGGCTTCTTCCGTCTCTCCTCGCTCGCGGAGACTCTCTCCGCGCGAGAAGAGGGCTTTTCTTTCTTCTCGCTCTCGGTTCGCTAGACGCTACATATACTCGCTAAAGGGTGGGTCGAGGCGCCGTTGGGTGCAAGTTCACGCGTCGCGACACCCCGGCTTGTTCTCCCGAGGCTTTGTGCGTGCAGCAATCGCGTATAGAAAGAAAGAGAGAGAGAGAGAGAGAGAGAGAGAGAGAGAGAGGGAGAGAGAGAGAGAGAGAGAAGTGAGCGTGGGCGTTGGTGTAGGTGTAGGTGGCGTCCCGGCGCTTTGTGGCGCGTTGAACCGCGGCCCCTTTGTCGTCGCTCGCGTAGAGCGGACGAGAGAGGCAAGAGGAGAGAGAAAGAGAGAGAGAGAGAGAGAGAGAGAGAGAGAGAGAGAGAGAGAGAGAGGGAGAGAGAGAGAGAGAGAGAGAAAGAGAAAGCGAGAGAGAGAAAGCGAGAGAGAGGGAGAGAGACAGTGAGAAAGAGAGAGAGTAAGCGAGAGAGAAGTAGAGAGAGAGAGAGAGAGAGAGAGAGAGAGAGAGAGAGAGAGCAAGCCCCGGGGGCTATGTGGAGACGCCTGGCCGCACGGTGGTAGCGCCGAAGAACAGACCCCACCCTGTGTGGACGCCAACCACCGGTGCTGGCACAATCATCCCGCGAAGATCACAGAGCCCTGCCCGCAGGCATCTTTGTTATAAACGGCTCTTGGCCATTCGTTGTCGCGTCGGCGGTCGGTGTCACGCGGTCGCGGCGATGCGTGAGTTCGAGATCACCTCCGCGAGAGAGGGTGTAAAGGTCTCTTCCCATCCCCCTTGGACGCTCCGTCGGACGCGCGTTGGCGCCATCAGCAGCACGTCCACCTTGCCCGCGAATGCGGAATTGCATTCAGCTTTCGCAGCCTGCCGTGTCGCACCTTAGTGCCGGGCTTTAAGCGTGACCCAGTTCGCGCGCGCGAAATGGCATACGCCACGTGTACGTCGCGGTAATTCGCGTACAGCGAACGTTCGGGCGAATCGCAGAAGCGGTTGAATTCCAGAAGAGAGGCACAACTCAGGCTCCTTGAAGCCTGATCTGTAATATGCTCCTTGCTCTCCCCTTTATCTCTCGTCTTCACTTGAACCTTAAGGGCCGGTTGCTCCAACTTGTTGGTAAGTTAACTGATAGTTAAATCATATGTGTCTGTCTTTGTCTGAATTGAAGAGAAAACAACAAAGGCAAAACATATGATTTGACTATCTTGTTAACTTACCAAGAAGTTGGAATAAACTATACGTCTACAAGCCAGAAGAAGGTAAAGAACAACAGGAGACAGAGAGCACATTGTAAATCAGGCTTAATCAGGATTGTTACCACCTTAGACTTTTCGTTTCTTCACGCAACAGTATTGAGCGGCCTTTATTTGTTTATGTGGACATAGAATGAAATATTATCGCTGCACACACGACATGACTGTCGCGAGAATCGCTGCTTCACACGCGGCACACGACACTTGTTGTAGTGTGCGTGACATATCTGCATTATTTGCGGCGACTCTTCCAGCTCGGTCTCTCGTCCCTTCTTTCTTCGCTTTGAAGAATGGTAATTTTCGGCGGCGAGATGGCCTTTGATCCCGTGCGCATTTTGCCGAAATCTCGCGTCGCCTGGAAGTTAAATGCTCCCGGGTCAACGTGCTTCCGCGACGTGTGCGCACACCACGAGTCGCTTGATCACGAGAGCGCGAGAGCTCCGGGGCATTTTCGAATGGCGCGACACTTCAGCAGCGTCCTCTGATCTTGACAGGCGCGGGGTTGCCTTTGACTCGGTTTACGCTTTGCGCCGTGATGCGAAAGGGTGTGACATCGTCGTGTCACAGCGAGGTTCATGAAATTACGTGACGTGACGCGTGTTGACCCGAGGGTACTTTGCGGTGTCTTCCAGACCGCATGAAATTGAAATTACAAGCTCGTCTCTCTCGCAGAGCAGCCTCGCGGAGCGAGACTCGATCTCGCAGATTCGGCCTGCATCCCGTCTGTATTTTCGTTCGGTTGATTCGCGCGCGTGCAAAGGATCTTAATCCCGAGAAATTCTCGGGCGAACTCGCGATATACTCGGGGGTGTACTCTGCTCTCTTTTGGGGCTGCAAATGATACCCGTATACAGTACGTATACAGTACGGAGAAGTGCCGCTGTCGATAGATTTTGGGCCAACAACGCCGTGATTGGAGTAAACCCAAACGTTGTTTCGATAACTCGTGCGTTACGATATTTTTCAATTCGATCACTCGTGCTTGCGATTGCACGGAGAAATTCAAAATCAGAAAAAGTGTCTTCTGATTGCAACGGTGTTTTTGCAAGTAAGGTGGTTGAAGAAGATGTCGAGAATAACCGTAATCCGCAATAGGGCTAACAGCCCATTTTTTCCCTTGCAACGAATCAAAATCTTCGCGAGATCGTTCTCTTGATTCTCGTCAATCACGAAACGCGTTTTAATCTCATCACCGTCGGCATATCGCACATACCGTACGTTGAAGAATAAAAGCTCCGCTTTTCCAGCCGCAATTTCACGTGCGACTAGCGACGTACTCGCGCGACAGAGAGAGGGCGACGAGAGACCGCGACGGTGGCGAAAATCCGAAGGAGTGGAAGCGAGAAAAAGCCGGTCGTTTCGTATGCAACGAGAACATCGAAGGAACAAATGGTCCTTCTGAACCGTGCGGCTCGATGCAAATGATTTCCTCGCTTACCGCGGCGATGTTCCAACATGCCGTAACGTCATGCGAGGACAATGATGAACTGACAGCACCGGGAATTAACACATCAGAGATATATCTGCAGAATGGTAATTCAAGTATGCCCATTAATGTTGCTCGCGTGCCCGGCGCGTGCCCAAAGTTGTTCCACTCTGCTCTGAAGCAGGTCATGTTCGTATAATCTCCCTGTGCACCGAAATGCGCACTCTAGACCTCTCTCTCTCGTAGAAGTCCGCTCCACGCGATCCAATCTAAAGTTGAAGCGATGAAAAAAGTCTCCTCACGTGAATCGCGCGTGATGCTTAATTATCCCGATGGCGCGGGCCCCGTCGGCTCGGGCGTGTTGAAAGCAGCTGCATAATTTTCGAGCGGGAGCGGCAGCGGACGGAATTTCGTTCATGCGCCTAATGAGCTCTGTAAATATCTGCGAGGGTAACCCGTACGGTATATTAATACGTATATAGGCCACCGAGAGGAAAGAATTGCGTTCGTTTCACTCGAAGTTTTTTTTTTAACCACCGCGCTCGCGCTGCGATAACCATCCGCTCCCATCGCGATTCAGCTGAAAGAAAGAACTTACACCGCCAAGTCTAACTTCAAACTCAAATCTCTGAGCGTCTCTCTCTCTCTCTCTCTCTCTCTCTCTCTCTCTCTCTCTCTCGCTTGAAACCAGCTTCAAACGTGACGACTATTAATACAGGCCTCATACAGCACTTTTCTTCACTCACGGCTGACGAGCCTCAATCTCTCTTCCGGCCTCCGGTGTATGGAGCCCTTCATGTGTTTTTTCCGCGCGAATATTACTTTACACGACGAAAGTGGCATAAAACTCGGCGGGTCGATTCAACAACTCTCGAGATCGCGCTCGGCGCGCGCTCGCGCGCGTCCGTCCAGAAACGTCACGTCGCGTTATCGACCACCAGCGGGGTTTCAGCGAGTCTGCCCACTGGCCAGGAAAAGCGACTTTAAGACGACTCGTAGAACAATAAAAGCACTCTCTCCCTCTCTTCCCCTCCTACCCACCTTCGTTTCTGCTTGCCCTTCCGCTCCCCTAGTGAGCCTCGCGTGACTTTCTGACCCGAGTCGACTGACCCTCGACCCCCCTCCCTGTATATTTGTGTGTGTGTGTGTATGTGTGTGTGTGGGTCTGAGGGCAACCCTAGCTTCCCTATGATAATTACGTACTCTGGAGCGGCGCGTGCCTCGGAAGTTCGCTCACGCGCTGATCGCGTATGGCGTGACTATCCTCGACACCATAGGTAACTATCGCGTCGCTCAGTCCTCTCTCCTCCCCACCCTCCGACTCGGCCACCGAGTCCTTAAAATACGTACGCAGTGATTGACGTCGGAAGGCACAATCGGAAAACCACGCTAATGGAAGCCCAAGAGATGTCTGGGAGACAGTCTAATCTCTTCCTCGGGCCTGAACACATAAAAACCACCCGTTATCTTAAGGGTAAGGGGGGGAATACTTAGGGGTGTGTTGCCCAAATCTCTTTAACCCCCTGATTATTTTTCGAAACACATGTTTCGTTTCTTCTTTTTTCCTTCTTCTTTTCGACTGGGGGAGAGATTGACCTCGTGTTTAAGATCATCTTGAGTTCGTCTCACTTACTTCTCGACGCATTGTTGAGGAAACTCATGTTGTGCGAGCGAGTCCTCCTCTCGGTTGCGATTATAATTAGCGCGTCGCGCTCCGGAGAACCCGAAAGTGGGTCTCGAATTCGTGAGAATCCGTCTAAAGTTCGAATCGGAGGATTCTACGCGGACAAAGCGGGCAGGGGGAAAGGATGCGGGAAAAGGGGGGGGGGACGGAGGACGAGCGGAACCCCGAGCCAGG